ACCAACTGGCTCTTCCAAACTGCTTCCATACATATCCTGGGATTGTCTAATACAAGCACACAGACACGTGGGTTTAGGTGATTGATGTATGTCTATTACTGTTGAAACTAGACCCAAGACCCCTCTTGCCAGCCCTATCGTTGCCCTGAAGCCTCCAACACTTGCCTTCTCTCTTCTTTAGTATGAGGGGTGGAAGTGTCTCCCCTCCACCATCTACCTGCAAAGTGGTAATTAAGGGATGGTCTCCAGTGGCAAGAGAGATGGATTCACTGCAAGGGGGGCTGCACCTCTGTCTCCCCCTTTTTGAGTGGGTGCACTGAACACAAGGTTATGATGCAAAAGGAGGGACAGTAGACCCTTAATGCCACTCTGTTTCAGCATGGGAATGACCTCATGCTGATTTCAATGCTGCTGGCGAGGCTTAGGCAGGTTCTGGACCTGCCACGACAAGACGTGGAGGTGAGACACCTAGACACTCACTTAAAGCATCTGTTCACTTAGATGTTCTCAAAAGCAGAATTCAAGTTCTTACATTCACTTTATGGCAAAAATGCAGCAACTCAGAGCTTCTCTGGTACCCTAGTCAAACAGGGGTGGAGAACTGAGATCACTTTTTGGACTCCAGTGCCAATATACTATTTTGAGTTCTTTCTTAGCAGACAAAAGCAGATGCCACAACACACCTGAATCTCTTCATTTTGCATAGTCACGAGTCACCTCCCCAGAACTCTTGGAACAAATGTGGCTGAACTGCAGAGCAGAAAACATTGTGTTGGTGTTTGAAAGACTGAACGAGGAAAGGTTTTTTTCTTCTCCGCTGAGCATGATCTGTTCTGCAATTAGACCCTCAGCTTAACCTCTCAGCTCTAACGGGGATGAGAAAATTGTCTTGCGGAGTGATAACAATTGAATTAATTGAAACTGATTGTGTGAAAATAATTACAATGATGCATGTGGACGGAGAGTGTCTCTGCACAGGCAGCAAGTGCTTTGTTGTGCAGCATTTTGTTCAGCTGTTGGTGGCTGGTGAGCGGAAGAGTGTTTGCTTCAGTGGTTCACAATAAGGTCATGGCAGCGGACCCCAGTTGGGTGCCATCATTAAGGAAGAGGGTACGGTGCTCACAAACAAAACCAGACCTGCCCCTGGCTGCTATAAAATCTTCTTCTCCAACAAGGGCATCAGCATGCTCAGTTTTGTGATGTGACAGGCTGCTGCTAAAACATACCACATGGAAACTTTGCCTGGGTGAAGGTCTCCAGTCCTTCCTACACCATGCACAGGGATAACCTCTGTCCAACCCTGTTCAGCAATAACATGGGAGGTAATTCATGATGGGGGCAACCTATTTGGCCATCAGCTGTCTGAAATCATAGAATCATAGAATAGTTTGGGTTGGAAGGGACCTTAAGGATCATCTAGTTCCAACTCCCCTGCCATGGGCAGGGACACCTTCTACTAGACCAGGTTGCTCCAAGCCTCATCCAGCCTGGCCTTGAACACTTCCAGGGATGGGGCATCCACAACATCTCTGGGCAAACTGTGCCAGTGCTTCACCACTCTCTTCAGAAAGAACTTCTCCCTGATATCTAATCTAAACCTCCTCACTTACAATTTAAACCCGTTAGCCCTTGTCCTGTCACTACAGGCTCTTGTAAAAAGTCCCCCCCAGCTTCCTTGTAGCCCCTTCAGGTACTGGAAAGCTGCAATAAGGTCTCCCCGGAGCCTTCTCTTCTCCAGGCTGAACAAGCCCAACTCTCTCTGCCTTTCTTCATAGGAGAGGTGCTCCAGCCCTCTAAATGTGTTAGAGTGTTCCATCTATCATAAAGTACCCACACTAATAAATTTATTTACTTGCGATAGTCATAAAGTGAGCTATCTGTTCCACATTTTGCCCATTCTGGCATTCATTAATGTAGATGTACGCTCCTGAGGTCTGTGGAGCTTAATGGGCTACCCAGTGAGTCCTGCTGATGCACCATGTCTGCATCAGTGATTTCTCCCCTGGTAGCAGAAACATCTTCACTTGCAGCATTTTTTTGGACTTCATAGTACATTGGGAACCTGTCCAGATAATTTTCTAGTCTATCAATAAAATATCTATGTTTATTGCTAGTAAATATATTTAATACATGTAATGATCAAGCTGAAGGTCACTAGCCAAGCTCTATCATGCTGAAGGGAGAGGAAGAAAAAACATCTGAATGTGTGGAAAGGTGAGGCACAATCCTGTTGGAGAAAAGGGGCCCTCACAGAACCTGGAAGACAGGCAGAGTTTTGAGATAAGCAAGACATTGACAGTTAGGATCTTTTGATGTTAGAATTAAAATTGGGACCATGGGAATATGGCTCAGTGGCAGTTATCAGATTGTGAGGCTCCTCAAGTTTTACTGGGGGGTTCATCAGAGGCTGCGGTGAAAGGCCAGACACTGCGATGGAGAAGCTTTGCGAACAGCGATGGAGAGGTGATCCCTGATAGAGTCCTTCTCCAAAATGAGCGCTGCTGGGATGAGCATGGCCAAGCCACATTGCCATCACAAAGCCCTGCATGCAGGCATGTGACTTCATGTGACCCTGCATGCTTTGCACTGATGGAAGCATAGATGGTGGTGGTGCTTACTTTCATTTCTCTGCTTTCCTTCAAGACCTAACCCAATTTAGGTAACAGCTCTGTTGGCGTGTGACTTCATGCCTCCCAATGCCGGCTGATCAACACAGATGCATGCAGCCATCTTGCCAAATGAGACATGATGTCATGGTGATGCAATCAAGCAGGGCAAGTGCCTTTAGAAATATGCAACAGCTTTGTGTGGGTCACTTAACACCTTCATGAAAGCAAGGAGCAAATGGACTCTCACTACAGGGGCTGTCCCCAGAGCACAGGCACCTCTGAAGTGTTTCTTCTGTAGGACTTGTCTGATAGTATCCAGACTACTTCTACTCTTTTGGGCTTCCCTGTGTTTCACCCTACTGAGGAAGGCAAAGGCTGTTAGCTTCATCAGACAGAACTGAGCTGCTGAGAGGAGGAGAAGGAAGATGTCCTGTAGTGACAGGACAAGGGGGAATGGGTATAAATTGAAAGTGGGGAGGTTTAGATTAGATATCAGGAAGAAATTCTCCACAGAGAGGGTGGTGAGGCACTGGGACAGGTTGCCCAGAGAAGCTGTGGATGCCCCATCCCTGGAAGTGCCCAAGGCCAGGCTGGATGAGGCTTGGAGCAACCTGGTCTAGTGGAAGGTGTCCCTGCCCATGGCAGGGGGTTGGAACTAGATGGTCTGTTCCAACCCTAACCATAATATGATTCTATATATCTACACAATGAACAGTGGGACCGAGACTGAACTGAACCATGTAGGACTCCAATTTCACCTCCTATTTTCCATCTCCTTTCTGGCTTTAACTTGCCCACCACCTGCCCTGATAGCTTGCATCCATCAAGTCCACACCGCCAAAGACATGCAACTCCTCTAAGAAAGTCCACTGCTTGGACACTGGCTGATATCTGGATCCAGACAGAGCATGACCACAGTGACAGACCAGGTTCCTCAGGCTCCTCAAGCCCAGGAAATCAGGTAAAGTCCATTTCTAGCATGTGCTATGATGGGCTAGTCTGATCCTGACGTTGACTCCAGATCCACAGCCTGCTGAGTTACAATCTCAGAGGTATCCATGTCACATGGGCATCTCTGGCAAAGCTGTGAATTGCCAAAACCAACATTGTAACTACCAAAGCACCCACACTGCTCCACAGCCACTGGGAAAGCCAGGTAGGCTTTGTTGAGTAATAGAAGTTGAGCCCTAGAGCCACCAAGGTGTCACAAAATCCTTATAATTAAATCCTGCTATTTGTCCTCCTCAGATCTCAGTTAGTCCACAGCCTTTGTGACGCTATTGATCACTGTGGGCATGGCCAACCAGATGTCCTATTTATCAGTTTGGGGTTTTATTGCTAGCCCTAGAATAAAAATCACTATTTATGTGTACTTCAGTAAAGACAAAGGATCCAGAAACCTATTGTGCCAGACACTGCACGAACAAAGCAAAGAGAGATTCCCTGCCACGAGCCATTTACAGACTGACTGTAGGGTGACACATCAGGGAAATGGGAAAGAGCAGCAGG